AAAAATATATATATATATATATATATAAATATATAAAAAACCTCTTCTGTAGAATGTATAATTTATTTAAATTCTAAATTTTAACCAAGCCGATTTCCAAATGATCTGGCATCTAGTAAACGTACGAAATCTTGTCAATGGGTTTTCAATTAAATCATATTACACTTCCCTGACAATCACACAAATGCAAGTCGCCAAAGGTGAACTTCATCATGTATTTTCAGTATAATGCAAATAAGTTGTTACTAAGATGAACCTAGTAAGTAAAAAGAAGAAACAAAAAACCTCGGCAGCTGCAAATCTCAACTTTGCTTCATCCAACTCCTTCTGTACTCCTCTAACAGGAATCCAAATAGACTGCACAAAAAACAATATGTTGGTCTAACAAAAGATAAAAGTCCTGTTTTATTGCTAAATCAATTAGGGTCGGAAAGAAGAGGATTCACCTGTATGGAGAGCGTAGCAGCAATGGTAATTATTTCCTCAGTACATCCTAACTCACAAGAAGCCAAGATCATTTTAGATATTAATGGGTCCTATACAAAAAACAGGTTTTAGAAACTGAGTGGATAGTGGATACGAACATTTCTAAATCCATGAATTGATTTAGACATGAAATGAAGAGTCACATTGCATAATTGTAACGCACCGAGAGATTTTCAGTAATGCATCAAGCGTCTAGTTTATCAACTTCCTATTGATCTCACACCTATGGCACTCGACAACATAGCATACATCAGTATAAGAGAGCTATTTATAGCGGACAGCATAAGTTTTCTTTGAGGGGAACTGGTATCTATTAGTTAAGATTTTGACGTTAAAGAAGAAAAGGAATAAAGTCCAGACTTTATCTTCCAATTGCTAATGAGAACGATAGACTACAACAAAGGAAAAAGAGTTAGTGTTGCAGTTTCAGCAATTTGCCTCAACCGCACCAGCTGACTACAAATATTCATACTCTAAATATCTAACTAACAGCCCTAAAGCAAAGGCTTCTACAAAATTGAATCTCGATTGGCTATCCAATGGGAGCAAAAGAATACTCTCCC